GTTCTATTAAAATTATTTATCACTGAGAAATTTTAATTCAAAATTTAAATATATAAGTTCAGTCTAATTTTGTTTTCTTAAATTTAATTAAAATAAATTTAATCACTGCTATTATCAATTATTAATTATTATTATCATTAATTATTATCAATTTTGTCTTATTATGACATCAATCATTTCAATTTTTGTTTATTTCAAAATTTTCATTAATCTTTCTTCTCCTCCTCCCCCCCCTCCTCTCTCTCTCTCTCTCTCCCTCTTCCATAAAATCATCCTGTTTTAAAAATTAATTTCGCTTCAGTTGCACAAATTATTCTTCTGCCGTCACTCTAATCTTTCAATCTTATCTCTCTTTTATTTACTTTCGAATACTTTTTTTCATTTCCTTAGAAAGTAAAGTAATAAGTAAGTAAGTTAATCCATGCAAATTATCAGATAATCATCTAAGTATATTATCTTCTTTTGTCATTTTAATCAGTTGCTTCGATCAGAACTCCGAAACATTGACTTTTTGAAAATATTTTTACTGAAATGGCATTTTCGTAGATTCGTTATAGTAGTGATAATAGTGATAAATTATATTTATTATCAGTATCGTCGATATTGTTATTCTGCTATTATTATTGTTATTGTTATCATTATTATTATTGCTACTATTTTTTGTTGTTTTTATTGTTGTTGTTGCTATTATTATTGTTATCATTATTATTATTATTACTATACTATTGTTATTGTTGCTATTATTATTATTGTTATTATTATTACTATTGTTGTTGTTCTTATTGTTGTTCAGTAGTGATAAGTTATATTTATTATCAGTATCATCGCCATTGCTATTGCTTTTGCCATTGTTATTGTTATTGTTGCTATTATTATTATCATTACTATTACTATTATCATTGTCGTTCTTATTGTTGTTTAGTAATAATAGTAATGATAAATTATATTTATTATCAGTATCTTCGCTATTACTACCGCTTCTGCTGTTGCTATTGTTGTTGTTGCTGATTATTATTATTACTATTATCATTGTTGTTGTTATTATTGTTGTTGCTGCTGTCGCCGTTATTGTTATTTATATTTATTATCCATATGTTGTCGTCATTATTACTACTGCTATTATTACAATTATTTATTATTACATTATCATTATTATTATTGTTACTATTATTATTATTAATGATGTCACTAGTTGCTGTTGTTATTGTCACTGTTGTTGTTATTTATCATTTATTATCCATATCTGTTGTCATCCTTATTTCTACTGCTATTATTATTATTATTATTATTATTATTATTATTATTATTATTATTATTATTATTATTATTATTATTAATGATGTCACTATTATTTGGGTTATTTTGCTCTATTTACTAAAAGTTTTTTCTCCTTCCTCTTTTTTTTTCCACCAAAACTTTTGCTACAATAATTATTAGTGTTAATCGTTTCTATTCATCTAAAAATTGCTCTTTCTGTCCTCTTTTTTTTTTTTTTGTTGTTGTTGATAATTCCCTAATTTTTGTTGTTGTCATAATTATTTATTTTTTTTTTTGCTATTATTTTGCTCTATTTACCCGAAAAAAAAAATGTATTTCTCATATTGTTGCTTTCTTTTTTTTCCTAAAATTCCAAAATTAAATATTTAAAATAATTTTTGTTTTTTTAAAAATGAAAAAATTATTTTATGACAATAAATTATTATATAATGTAAACATATTTAATCTAAAATATTACAATTTTATGTTAACAATTAAATAATTTGAATGAATTTCATTTCTATTTTTACTTCAACGTATTTTTGCTAATTATTTGAGTATATTTTTTTTTTGTACTTAAAAAAAAATTCTTATTTATTACTTTATTGTATGATAAAAATATTTATAAAATATAAATTTAAAAAATTTAATTTTATTTCAATTACTATATTTCAATTTCTATGTTGAAGATTGAATTTGAATATAAATCAATAATTGATAAGTTTTCTTATCAATTGTAAAATTTTATTTTGTTTATATTTGTTGTCGGCGCACAAAAAAAATTCTTTTATTTCTAAAATTCATAAAAAATTTTTCTTAAAAATTTAAACAATTAATTTGAATTATTTATTATTTTTATAATATTTTTTTTTAAAAAAAATAAAAAATAAGAATTTTACTTGTGTGAAATCTTTTGCTACTTAGCAAAATATTTTTTTCAAATTTTTTTTTTATCATTGTTTTAATTTCATTAACTTTTTTAATAAAAGAATTACGAATGATTGAATTATTGATTTTAATTTAAATTTAATTTTTATTTACAATGCTCTCAATTTTAATTATAATGTTTTATATTTTTACTTACATACTTACTTGTGCATTAGAAATTTTCACATTTTAATTTAAATTTAATTATTTACAGTACTCTAAATTTTAATTATATTTTTACTTTATATTTTTACTTACTTGCTTATTTTCCTATATATTATAAAACTGTTTTAACAAATTTTAAGCAAAATTATTATTTTTTTTAAAAAAAAAACTAAAAATGAAAAACGAAAAAAATATCCATAAATTTCATTTAAAAATGAAAGTTTATTGTACAATTTTTTTTTCTTTTGCAATAAAATTTCATAAAAATTTGTGATCAATTAATTAAACTAAGAAAAAAAAAAATTTTTTTTTATTTTAAAAATTACAACAAATTTAAACTTTAAAAAAAAAAATGAAACAATTTTACAAATACATTTTAGAAGAAGTTATATCTCAATACATTCAGTAACATATCAATGGGACATGATAGTTACTTTGACCTTGAAAAATGAATAATTTTTTGAAAGGTCATTTTTATGTAACAAAAAAAAAATAATATTCCAAAATATATTTTCTTCTTTCTTTTTTTTTTGTTTTGAATTTCAATGTTTTCTTATTTTTACTATTTGTTTACTTTTAATTTTGATATATTTTGTAAACAATGATCGTTTTTTTTTTTTTCAAGAAATAACCTATTTAAATCAGTTTTATTTTTACTGTGATATGATAAGTGATAAGAATTTTTGAATGATATTATACTACTATATAATACAATGAAAAGTAATAAGTGAATAGTTAATTTAAACTATTGATTTCTTGTGATATGATAAGCTCATAACAAGTTTTGAATGATATTACATAAATGAATAGATGATCTGAGTTATTGATTTATTGTGATATGATAAGTGATAAGAATTTTTGAATGATATTATACTACTATATAATACAATGAAAAGTAATAAGTGAATAGTTAATTTAAACTATTGATTTCTTGTGATATGATAAGCTCATAACAAGTTTTGAATGATATTACATAAATGAATAGATGATCTGAGTTATTGATTTATTGTGATATGATAAGTGATAACAATTTTTGAATGATATTATACTACTATATAATACAATGAAAAGTAATAAGTGAATAGTTAATTTAAACTATTGATTTCATGTGATATGATAAGCTCATAACAAGTTTTGAATGATATTACATAAATGAATAGATGATCTGAGTTATTGATTTATTGTGATATGATAAGTGATAACAATTTTTGAATGATATTATACTACTATATAATACAATGAAAAGTAATAAGTGAATAGTTAATTTAAACTATTGATTTCATGTGATATGATAAGCTCATAACAAGTTTTGAATGATATTACATAAATGAATAGATGATCTGAGTTATTGATTTATTGTGATATGATAAGTGATAACAATTTTTGAATGATATTACATGAATGAATAGATGATCTGAGTTATTGATTTATTGTGATATGATAAGTGATAACAATTTTTGAATGATATTATACTACTATATAATACAATGAAAAGTAATAAGTGAATAGTTAATTTAAACTATTGATTTCATGTGATATGATAAGCTCATAACAAGTTTTGAATGATATTACATAAATGAATAGATGATCTGAGTTATTGATTTATTGTGATATGATAAGTGATAACAATTTTTGAATGATATTACATAAATGAATAGGTGATCTGAGTTAGTGATTTATTGTGATATGATAAGTGATAACAATTTTTGAATGATATTACATAAATGAATAGGTGATCTAAGGTATTGATTTTCTGGTGATATGATAAGTGATAAGAATATTTCGAATGATATTACATGAGGAAATAGATGATCTGAGCTATTGATTTTTTGCGGGATGATAAGTGATAAGAATATTTCGAATGATATTACACTAGTAAAATAAAATCGAAGGTAAAAAATGAGTAAATGATCTGAGCTATTGATTGATTGGATAGTATAATCATTTGATAGAAGAATTTTAAATTTAAAAAAGTTCAAATTTTTTTTTTTAAATTAAAAAAGATTTTGAAAACTAAAGAAGTAATTTAATAAAATATTTTATAAATGCAAATTTTGGAATTACAAAAATTTTTCAATTTATCGGACTTTTTTTTTGATTTATCAAATAGAGAAGATTGCATAATTTAATATTATTTAACTAGAAATTTTGATTGGTTATGCATTCCTTTTTTAAATTCGTTTCATTCGAAACGAATTTAAAAAAAAAATTTTCAATCAATCATTTTTTTTTTAAATAATAATTTGAGAAATTTTAAAGAAAGATTTATTTTTCAAAAAAAATAAAGTAAAAAAGATATACAATTAATTGTTTAATTTTTAAAAAAAAAAAATGACAAACTTAAATTTTATAATAATCAAAAATTATTTGCTTAAATTAATATATTATTTTTGCTAATGCAAATGCTTATTAAAATTTAAAAAGAAAAAAAAATATTTCTTATCTTATCAATTTAAATTTTTAATTAAAATTTGCATTATTCATTTTTATATTTTTAAATACTGATAATTTCATTTTTAATTTTATAAAATTAATTTGAAAAAATATATTTTTAGCAAATTTCATTTTATTATAGATTATTATTATTATTATTAACATTTATTAATAATAATACTTTCCTGAAAAGACAAAAAAAGAATTCCGGATAGTTAATGGCAGCAGTACGTGATTCATTATGTAATATGGAACCGGTACAAATTCCAAGGCCACAAATTTCCGGTTTACAATTTATTCCAACCAGAGGTCGATTAGGATTTTATGCGGTTTAATTTTCTCTTTTTTTTTTTTTTAAAAAAAATTTTCTTTTTTTTTTGAATTTCATTTTTATATTTTAATTTTATGTATTATATTTATATTAATTAAATATATATTTATATTTTATATAAATATTTATTCAAATTTTCACAATTATTTTTGCTAACCAACCTATTATATAAGTAATTTAATTTAATACAAAAAATTTGTTTATTATTTATTTTTAGAAATTTAAAATATAAAATTTATATAAAATGAATAAATTTATATGATAACTTAAAATATGTGTTTTAATTATAAGTATATTAATTTATTAAAATAATTATTCATTATGCATTTTTAAAATTTAAAATATAAAATGAATATACTTATATGATAACTTAAAATAAGATTCCTATCATATAAGTAATTTAATTTATTACAATAAATATTTATTATCTATTTTTAAAATTCAAAATATAAAATGAATATACTTATATGATAACTTAAAATAAAATTCCTATCATATAAGTAATTTAATTTATTACAATAAATATTTATTATCTATTTTTAAAATTTAAAATATAAAATGAATATACTTATATGATAACTTAAAATAAGATTTCTATCATATAAGTAATTTAATTTATTACAATAAATATTTATTATCTATTTTTAAAATTTAAAATATAAAATTTATTTAAAAATGAATATATTCCATATGATAACTTAAAATAAAATTTCTATCATATAAGTAATTTATTTTATTACAATAATTATTCATTATCTATTTTTAAAATTTAAAATTAAAATGAATATACTTATATGATAACTTAAAATAAAATTCCTATCATATAAGTAATTTATTTTATTAAAATAAATATTCATTATCTATTTTTAAAATTTAAAATATAAAATTTATATAAAATGAATATATTTATATGATAATTTAAAATAAAATTCCTGTCATATAAGTAATTTGTTTTATTTTAATAAATATTCATTATCTATTTTTAAAATTTAAAATATAAAATGAATATACTTATATGATAATTTAAAGTAAGTTTTTTTTTTTTTTAAATTCTTTTTAAAAATTTCTAAAATTTTTTATAGACAATTCGCCGTGATGGTGAAAAATATGGTGTAGGAATGAAACCAATTGGACCACGACGACCAGTCCTTTCAGAAAGTTTATTTAAAGATGATTGTAATATTTCGAAAACATCAAACATCAAAACGATTAATGAAGGTGACAAAATGGAAAATGTAAAATTGTCACCAAAACAAGTAATTATTTTCATTAAAGTTTCATTTAAATTAAAGTTAATTAAATATTAGTTATTAAATTTTTTATTTTTTGTTGTTAAATTTTAACAAATTTAAATTAGAGTTAATTAATTATAAGTTATTAGATCGTTTTTTGTTAAATTTTAACAAATTTAAATTAGAGTTAATTAGTTATAAGTCATTAAATCGTTTTTTTTTTGTTAAATTTTAACAAATTTAAATTAGAGTTAATTAATTATAAGTCATTAAATTGTTTTTTTTTGTTTAAATTTTAACAAATTTGAATTCAAAATTAGAATTAATTGATTATAAACTTTTAAATTTTTTGTTAAATTTTAACAAATTTAAATTAGAGTTAATTAATTATAAGTTACTAAATCGTTTTTTGTTAAATATTAACAAATTTAAATTAGAGTTAATTAGTTATAAGTTATTAAATCGTTTTTTTTTTGTTAAATTTTAACAAATTTAAATTAGAGTTAATTAATTATAGGTTATTAAATTGTTTTTTTTTGTTTAAATTTTAACAAATTTGAATTCAAAATTAGAATTAATTGATTATAAACTTTTAAATTTTTTGTTAAATTTTAACAAATTTAAATTAGAGTTAATTAGTTATAAGTCATTAAGTCGTTTTTTTTGTTTAAATTTTAACAAATTTGAATTCAAAATTAGAATTAATTAATTATAAACTTTTAAATTTTTTGTTAAATTTTAACAAATTTAAATTCAAATTAGAGTTAATTAACTATAGGTCATTAAATTGTTTTTCTTTGTTTAAATTTTAACAAATTTAAATTCAAAATTCGAATTAATTATTTATAAGTTATTAAATTGTTTTTTTCTGTTAACTTTTAACAAATTTAAATTAGAGTTAATTAATTATAAGTTATTAAATTGCTCTTTTTTTTTGTTAAATTATAGCAATAATTTTGATAACAAAAAAAAAATTTTTTTATCAAAATCATTATTAAATCATTTAAATAGAAGTATGATAGCTATTATCAATTTACTTTATCAGTATCAATTCAATTAAAAATGATAAATTGATATGATTGATACAAATCAATGAAATGATTAAATGATAATAATTTTTATTAAAGGATTTGCAATCATTAAAAACAAAATCAAATTCGATGACAAATATTTCCAAACAAACAAATTCGCCGACAAACACTTCCAAACAATCATTTCAAGCATCAGAAAATGAAAAAATTAATTTGAATGCAAGTAAATGAAAACTGATAAACTGATAAGGAATTTTTTATGAATGATAAAGAATGATAAATATTTCGAGATTACTTCAATGAATTAAATTTATATTATGAAAAAAATGCAAAATAAAAAAAAAATTGTTCTCACTTTTTTTTTTTTTTTTGTATTTATTTGAAATTTAATAATGCAAATTAATTGCACAATTAAAATTTAAAATTTTTAAATCAAATTTTGTTTTTTTTTTTGAGAAATTTATAGTTAAAAATTTATTTATATTGTTGATAAAAAGGAAAATATTAATTAAAATTTAATTTTTATTATTTTCCGATTAACATTTAACTTTTTTTTTTATTGTCAAAAAAGGAATTATTTAATAAATTATTCAATTACTGTTTCTATCTTTTTTTTTTTTTTTGAAAAATTTTGCAAAAAGAAATTGTAAATTCTATATGATTGAAGTGGAATGGTTTGATTTTATATTATTTTTATTTTCATTACGAATTAATTTAATTAATTAATTTTAAAAATTTCAATGAAGAAAAAAATATATTTTTATCAATTTTATCAATTGTAAATATTAAAAAAAAGAAATGATAAATTAGTACCAATAATTTGAACAGTAATAATTTATCTGATAAAATAGTTAATTAATAATAATTAATTAACAAATGAAATTAGCTATTAGACAGATAGTATGGATGACAAAAGTTAGAATTAAATTTGAACAAATTAAATTTTTTTAATATATATTAATCTAAAAGTAATACTTAAAATTGTATTTTCTTTTTTTGAATAAAATTTTATTTTATTTTTATTTAAAATGTTTGTATTCAGGTGGTTATTGCTATTATAAAATGATAGTTATGTATGACAAAGATAAATTATAACAAATTGTTTTAATTTTATTTGCTATCGTTTTTTTTGTTTGCATATGTTTGGATAAAGTAAATCATTTTGTTGGCTAATATTTGACATTAAAGCCTTATAAATAATTAGGCTTACAAGCCAAGATCACATCTTGGCCACACAATTCAATCATTCTGCTAGATAGTATTTTACATTGAAGGCCACATCAATAATTAGCCTTACAAGCCAAGATCACATCTTGGCCTAGAATTCAATCATTCTGCTAGATAATATTTGACATTGAACCCTTATAAATAATTAGGCTTAAAAGCCAAGATCACATCTTGGCCACACAATTCAATCATTCTGCTAGATAATATTTGACATTGAACCCTTATAAATAATTAGCCTTACAAGCCAAGATCACATCTTGGCCTAGAATTCAATCATTCTGCTAGATAATATTTGACATTGAAGCCTTATAAATAATTAGGCTTACAAGCCAAGATCACATCTTGGCCCAGAATTCAATCATTCTGCTCGATAATATTTCACATTGAAGGCCACATCAATAATTAGCCTTACAAGTCAAGATCACATCTTGGCCACACAATTCAACCATTCTGCTCGATAATATTTTACATTGAAGCCTTATAAATAATTAGGCTTACAAGCCAAGCTCACATCTTGGCCTACAATTCAGCCATTCTGCTAGATAATATTTGGCATTGAAGCCTTATAAATAATTAGGCTTACAAGCCAAGTTGGCATTTTAGCCTACAATTCAACCATTCTGCTCGATAATATTTTACATTGAAACCTCATTAATAATTAGCCTTACAAGCCAAGTTGGCCTTTTAGCCTATAATTCATAGACAGTGATTTAATTACCAAGCATTTCTATGCTTATTTTTGGCTTTTTTTTATTCATTGCCTAAATATAAATGAGAAAAACAACTGCAAAGAATTTTTGATCTCTTATATGCGTGAAAACAAAATGTCACGTGACGTTAAGTACTATCGTACGTGAAAATTGTTATCTGTCAACTATTTTACCCCTAAAAACTGATTTCAGCAAACGCTTAAAACACGTAAGAAAATACGTGTTGTTATTTACTGATATGAAAAATACTTAGCAACAATTGGTTTAACTTATACTTTAACTTATGCAAATTTTACTTAGTACTTATAAATAACTTTGTTTTACATTTACTTAATATTGTTTAATTATGAAGAATCAATGGTACGTTTGTTTTGACATTTTGAATAATTGAATTTTGATTTTAAAATTATTGCAATTTGCACAAGAAATTAAAATATCAAATTACTGATGAAATGATTAAAAGTTGCTGATTAACTTTATTAGGTAATACAATAATTAATTTGATAATTAAATATACTTAAAATAGTTGAAGGAAACCTTTGTTAATCAAAAATTTTCTGTATATTACATTAAAGTTTCTTGTTCAGCTGATATCATTATCAGCTGATATCATTGTCACTTCATTATCAGTAATCAGTGATGCAAAGTTTATTAATCAGTCCATCATGCATTTTTTTTTTTATCATAAACAAAATTTCTGAAATAAAAATTCGTAAAGTCTAAAATTTTGAAAATAAAAATTCGCATAGTCTAAAATTTCTAAAATAAAAATTCGCATAGTCTAAAATTTCTAAAATAAAAATTCGCATAGTCTAAAATTTCTAAAATAAAAATTCGTAAAGTCTAAAATTTTTAAAGTAAAAATTCGCATAGTCTAAAATTTCTAAAATAAAAATTCGTATAGTCTAAAATTTCTAAAATAAAAATTCGCATAGTCTAAAATTTCTAAAATAAAAATTCGCATAGTCTAAAATTTCTAAAATAAAAATTCGCATAGTCTAAAATTTCTAAAATAAAAATTCGCATAGTCTAAAATTTCTAAAATAAAAATTCGCATAGTCTAAAATTTCTAAAATAAAAATTCGCATAGTCTAAAATTTCTAAAATAAAAATTCGCATAGTCTAAAATTTCTAAAATAAAAATTCGCATAGTCTAAAATTTCTAAAATAAAAATTCGCATAGTCTAAGGAAAAAATGCATAAAATTTCAGGTTTGTATAGTAACTTAAAAAAAAAGTAATTTAAAAAATTTTAAAAAAGCAAATTAAAAAAAAAAAAAAAAAGTAACCTGTGTTATAGTGTGATGAGTAAGACAAATCCGCTTGCAATTCAATTACCGCCCGGAACAGTTATTGAGGGGCGCTTTTTGTTCGAAACATTATCAATGGGTCGTTATAGTACTGTGTTTAAAGTTGAGGATAAATTTGATAATCGTCAAAAATATTGCATAAAGGTTTTTTTCTAAAAACTTTTTCTTTTCTTTTTTTTTGCAAATTTTATTAAAAAATATAATTTGTAATATTATAATTATAATTTTTATTTGTAATTTATATTTTATAATTTGTAATATTTATTTAATTTGTCTAATTTTTTTTGTAATATTTAATTAAATAATTTGTGTATAATTTGTAATATTTATATAATTTGTATAATTCGTAATATATTTATATAATTTGGATGATTTTTTTGTTATATTTAATCAAATAATTTGTATATAATTTGTAATATTTATATAATTTGTATAATTTGTATTATATTTATATAATTTGGATAATTTTTTTGTAATATTTAATTAAATAATTTGTGTATAATTTGTAATATTTATATAATTTGTATAATTCGTAATATATTTATATAATTTGGATGATTTTTTTGTTATATTTAATCAAATAATTTGTATATAATTTGTAATATTTATATAATTTGTATAATTCGTAATATATTTATATAATTTGGATGATTTTTTTGTTATATTTAATCAAATAATTTGTATATAATTTGTAATATTTATATAATTTGTATAATTGTAATATATTTATATAATTTGGATGATTTTTTTGTTATATTTAATCAAATAATTTGTATATAATTTGTAATATTTATATAATTTGTATAATTCGTAATATATTTATATAATTTGGATGATTTTTTTGTAATATTTAATCAAATAATTTGTATATAATTTGTAATATTTATATAATTTGTATAATTCGTAATATATTTATATAATTTGGATGATTTTTTTGTTATATTTAATCAAATAATTTGTATATAATTTGTAATATTTATATAATTTGTATAATTCGTAATATATTTATATAATTTGGATGATTTTTTTGTTATATTTAATCAAATAATTTGTATATAATTTGTAATATTTATATAATTTGTATAATTTGTATTATATTTATATAATTTGGATATTTTTTTGTAATATTTAATTAAATAATTTGTGTATAATTTGTAATATTTATATAATTTGTATAATTCGTAATATATTTATATAATTTGGATGATTTTTTTGTTATATTTAATCAAATAATTTGTATATAATTTGTAATATTTATATAATTTGTATAATTCGTAATATATTTATATAATTTGGATGATTTTTTTGTTATATTTAATCAAATAATTTGTATATAATTTGTAATATTTATATAATTTGTATAATTTGTATTATATTTATATAATTTGGATAATTTTTTTGTAATATTTAATTAAATAATTTGTGTATAATTTGTAATATTTATATAATTTGTATAATTCGTAATATATTTATATAATTTGGATGATTTTTTTGTTATATTTAATCAAATAATTTGTATATAATTTGTAATATTTATATAATTTGTATAATTCGTAATATATTTATATAATTTGGATGATTTTTTTGTTATATTTAATCAAATAATTTGTATATAATTTGTAATATTTATATAATTTGTATAATTTGTATTATATTTATATAATTTGGATAATTTTTTGTAATATTTAATTAAATAATTTGTGTATAATTTGTAATATTTATATAATTTGTATAATTCGTAATATATTTATATAATTTGGATGATTTTTTGTTATATTTAATCAAATAATTTGTATATAATTTGTAATATTTATATAATTTGTATAATTCGTAATATATTTATATAATTTGGATGATTTTTTTGTTATATTTAATCAAATAATTTGTATATAATTTGTAATATTTATATAATTTGTATAATTCGTAATATATTTATATAATTTGGATGATTTTTTTGTTATATTTAATCAAATAATTTGTATATA